TATATATATATATATACATTTGTATGTGAGCTATCTTAGCTTTTGCAGGAGACTTTTTCTTTGTGTATCTGCTGGTATGTGTATGAGTGTGTATTCCCACAGGAGACATGTATCACTGCTGACATAAGTGTATGGGAGCTTCAGCAGATACATTGAGTGTTTTTGCCAAGTGTATGAATAAGCACATACATTTCGACTGATAAAGCTCGAACAGCAGCTTGGTAAAAACCCTGATGAGGACCACGTGCACGGCTGGTACACATTGCCTAGGGTTTTGTTGTTTGTTCTTGCCCTATAGCTAATTAGTTGAAGCCATGTTATTTTCCACTTAAGATGAATGGCCTTGGTTGTTGGTTTTATTTTTTTCATAGTTATGCTTTTTGGTTTTACTGCTATTATTATGCAAGCAAAGAAACCATCTCTAGATTTAGCTGTTTGAATTACTCTCCAAAAAGCGCCAACACAACTGACCCCAGAAGCCCTCAGAAGACATCCTATTCTTGCTATGTGTTTGCATTTTTATATGGAATACTAATCTGCTGTGTTCACAAAGCTACCGGCAGGTGCAGTTATCCCTATTCACTTACCAAACTAAGACCTTATTCATCCAATGCTTTTTTTTTATTAGTCCTTCAAACAGGATATTCACTATAATCCCTCCTGTATTGTACAAGAGTATTGTTGATGATGAAGTGCTTTGAATTACTACTACGCTCATCTGTTTTTCCACTGCCTCTTTAATCTTTTTCCTTTTATATTGACATGATATGACTTGTTGTTTTTTTTGTTTTTTTTACCAAAGCTGACATGCCTGTGCAAAGCCAGTATAAGAGGAAAAAACAACATATTAGGAAAGCGCTAATGTTAATCTGTTAGAAACACTGTAATAATGTAATATCCTCTGTCTCTTCTGATTAATATTTTCTTGTGTTCAAGTCTGTCTTTTCTAACCTTTTGTTGACTGGGCCAATTACGTCTATCTTTCCATCTCTCTCTCTCATTGTTCTGCTTGTGTGCACCTTTTGTTCAAAGAAACCCCCTTAGATTCCTATCTCAAGCACATTCTAGTATATTCCAATGTACATATGTCATGTTTCATGTACACCTCTGTTAATAGAAATATATCTGGGTATGGATCCAAGTGCTTATCGAAAATTGGGGATGGAAACTGCATGACTACAGTAAACCCAAAGGAAACAGACTAATTTAATAAAAGCTCCTCAACAATGCAAAAAGGTTTTCACGCTCACATGAAGTGGAAAATTGTTTTGTCGATGAGGAACTTGCACAATTAACATTGATGAAAACACACTGGCAGGCTGGACTAATGCAGGATTGGCACAATCTGGCCTCATATTTCATTGCACAACAGTTAAAGGAATAGTTTTACATTTTGGGAAATAAGTTTATTTGCTTGCTAAGAGTTACATAGAGGATTGAGACCACTTTAGCCACCAGCTTTAGCCTAGCATTAAAACTGGTAAAGGGGACAGCTAGTCTCTTTAGATCTCAGTTTTTGTACAGATTAAACAAACCGGAGCTTTAGAGGTGTTGTTAGGTGGATTTTGCAAAGCTATGCTAAATAGCTGCTGGCTCCAGCTCACATTTGAAAGTATTATCAGTGTTCTCTTCAAATTGTTGTAAAAAAAAAACAATAATGCAATGTGTGACCAACAGTAGCAGGCAGTACAGATCACGCTTCACTTTCTCCTTGTTCATGTTTTGTTTTTTGATATTCTGGAATCCTGTTTGATTGATTTAAACCAGTACAGGAAAAAACACAAACTATTCTCTGTACTTTACATGGTGACACAATGGAAATGTCACAATGTCACTGTGTATGAGTGTATATCTGATCAATACTGATGTCACCTGTTTCTCATTCTCTCTTTCTCTCTCTGTACTTTCCCAGGTAGGGCAGTTCAGTGAATTTCTCCATGAATGTACGTCACAATGATGATGACAGACCAGATTCCACTGGACTTGGCTCCGCCCCCCCTCCTGAACGGGGAGGTCCCTCTCATGCCTCACATGGTTAACGGTGACGCAGCCCAGCAGGTAAACACACACACAAACACACACAAACACAAACACACACACACACACAACACACACACACAACACCACACACACCAACACACACACACACACACACGTCTGACTTTTGCATTCAGTTATCCGTGCAAATGCTTCTTTCGACATTCCTGGGTTGCGATACACACACACACTAACCAGATGCACGCAAGAATACACATCAAACAGCCTTGCGGGCACTTCTCTTTGTTGTCATTTCGTCACATCGCTCATGGGTTGTTGCCACAGGCAATGAACAGCTGTTACAGTAAAGCATTTGTCATATAACAGGAACAAGAATGAACACAGGCATGCAGGCACATACAATCACATCATTCAGCCCTAGAGACATTTTTTTTACGCAGCATATAACTGGCTCTATTGATGGATTCCGGGCCTTAGCCTAAATTACTTTGGAAAAGGATTCAACTACTTTTCTGAGACTGACTGATCTTATCAGAAGCTGCTGAGCCAACTGGATCACCTTCAAAGTACAAATCCCCACCCGAGCTCTGCACAGACAAAAAGAAACAAACTGTAATTGAAAGCATCACAGTTAATTGACCTGGGTCTAATCCTGTTGTCACTGATGAATTTTTACACCGTGTGCTTTTGGTAGATGAGAGATGTTGATGATGATGTTTATGTATCATCCCCGGCCTGTTCCCTCATAGCCCAGAGGAAGCATGGTGGGAGTGTTTTGGCTGCGACACATAACAGTTAGGAAGGGTTTTGGCTGTAACACACAGCAGTTAGGAGCTCTTTTTATTGTAACACCCTGCAGTTTAAACTCGGTTCCCAGTGTGGAATCAGACCGATGATTATATAGATTTGACTCTGCATGCGTGTGTCCATGTTTGTGTGTATTTGTTTGTTTCTTGGTCTGCCTTACACTGTGTGTGTTTCTTTTTCCCTTTCAGTGTCTGTGTGGGCACACAAGTGTCTGTGTTGAGTCTGAATACATACTTCTGTGTTTGTGTTTGTCTGCTTGCTTGTCTCTCAGCTTTCCTGTCTGACTATCTGTGTCTACCTGCCCACACCTGTTTATGTTTGTGTTTATCTGTGTCTGTGTATTCCTTTGGTGCAAAGCAAAGGCAGCATCAGATACATTGTTTGGCTGCATATGTATATCATTCTACATATTTAGTGAAGGGATATGCATCATGGTGAAAATATTATAAAGAGCCAAAGGACTGCCATCACATCTAAGCTAGCTAAAGCTGGAATATGGGTGGCTAAATTATAAGATGCGACAGTGTAGCCAGTAAGAGGTTTAATTTTGCACTGTCTGGTGGTTACATTGTGGGCCCTTTATTATGTTTTTTGCAAAGATTTACAATCCCTTTGTGAACAAACAAAATAAGCTGCATGACTGGATTCTTACTAATCAGGAAATAATAATAAAAAAACTAAATAGTTAATTTAGGAGTTTTTACTTCTGGAACAGAAACAACTGTGGTCCTTATGGTTTTAGTTTGGCTCTCTATAAACATCTCAACTGCCTGAAAATGTTAATAGGTTAATAATAGGGCTGCCCCCGACTAAATATTTTCGTAGTCAGTAAATAAAGTCAAAAGTCGACTAGCCGTGCACGTTTATGATAAAAAACATGTATATATCATATAACAGTGGTAATTAATCTAAATAGTGTCAGAACAACCAGCAAGGAGACTAAACATTGAGTTGATGTATTGAGCCGCAGTATAACATCACACAGTCTCGTGAGGAGCTTGTAGAATACGTATGATGGATGATGTATAACGTTAACAGTTACTTACAAATGAACTTGTTACAAACTTGCTTCTCTTCCTCCGTTTCATCTCTCTCCTGAAAATTCTTGACCTGCTCATATGCTAGTTTGACGTTGTTTTTGTTTTTCTGCGACTATCAGACTCATTAAAAGTGCATTGAAGGTTAAGTCGACTATTAGGGGGCAGCCCCACTAATTAAAAATGTCAACTAGAAAAAAAAATCTGTTTCTCAGAAGATGCTTAAATATATGTTTGTAGCCTAGCCAAAGAAGTTGTTTGGCGAGTGTCAGTCCAGCCAAAATCGGGTTTTTGCTCTTTATGTGACTTGACAAAACATGTTTATACAAACAAACTAAGGCAAGGATCTGCTTTAAAAAAAAAGTTTATATGCTGTAAGTTCATTTTGCACCAAAATCTAGAAGTGTTCACACTCAAAACCACAGTTTTTCACAGTCACAGTTTCACAGTCACAACTTAAAATTAAAGGTTTTTCGAGTGTGTCAAATGATTAGCTGAATGGATCATTACAGCTTCAGTGAGTTAAAGATTCAAAACAAAACAAATATTTTGAAATGTGCATGACTTTGCACATTTTACAAATACTATGATCTTGGATTTGATAGATATATATACATAACACAAGCACATATACACAGTCACTCCACACGCATCCGCCCACATGGTCTGATATGGGGGTTTTCTCAGTCCTTGGGAAACATGGGTCGCCCTGTACTATGCTGGGGTTCCCATAGCAACAGCAGCCGCTGCAGCAGACAGAGCAGGAAGTGTGTGTGTGTGTGTGTGTGTGTGTGTGTCTGAGGGAGAGGAGCAGGTTAGCGCTGAGATGGGAGAGCATGCAGACACTACAGGAGGAACGCAGGATATGAGGATTTTACGACGGCACACCTGTAGAGCATAGACAGGGCTGTGCTTGTGTGTGCATGCATGTGTGTGTGAATACATGTGTGTGTAATGGAGGGTCACCTGTTTCATGTCTACAGCCATGTGTACACTCTGAACAATCTGTATGCGGAGAATATGACGGTAAGGTGCATGCATACTCCCTTCCGGCATATTCAGCAGAAACACTTGGAAATCAGAACAGTGTCATATATTTTGGCTTCTTGTGTGTGTGTGTGGCACAACTGTGATATATGCATCACTGTGTGTGTAGTATTTGTGTTCACTGGTTTTAGTGGTTTTCTGCCAGTCAGTGTGGTTAAAAGAGAAAAGCTTTTCTCAAATCAGGGTGTGTGAGACGGCAGCATTGTCTCACCATTAGCTTATCTAATACCTCATTCATATGTGTGTGAACTCTCTGTGTCCGCCCTACTCTGGGATCCGATGATTACTGTGTGTTATGTCACCTCTGCAAGCCTATTGGCTGCCCAGCAGAGAGTCTGTCCTGTTTTGTGATGGTTTAAGATTGATGTATGTTTATGGCATTATGTGTGACAGCGATTTTTCCTATTGCCACCCTCAATTAATCTGATCTGTGCTTGTTAACTGTGGGATTTTTGTTTGTGTGTGTTTGTACAGGTGATCCTGGTGCAGGTGAACCCGGGGGAGACGTTTACCATCCGGGCAGAGGACGGTTCACTGCAATGCATCCAGGGTCAGTCTCATCATACATTATTATATAGTCATATTACCACTGTGGCCATGCGTCACTTTGAGGGGAATATAACTTTCTTTGTTCTGTGGTGATACAGGAGAAAACATAGTCTTAAAAGTGTATTTCAAATTTTGACAAAGCACAATGGGGCTTTTATGTGCTTTTGTCGTAACTGGAAAGCCAGGGAAATTTTCAACCCTTTAATGCAAGAAACTACTAAATTATCCGTTTAATGACATCCATCATCATTACTCAGCAAAGTTGAGGAGCTGGCTAGGATTTTGTAACTTTCCTCCAGCACATGAAGGCACTATATCATCCATTCTTTCAACTTCATTACCATAAAGCAGTAATATTACTTTTTAAAATCAGCCTTCTTTATACCAGTGTTTGCCTTTCAAATCAGCAGTAATGTTTGATTGACCTTGGTGTAAACATGAAAAAACTCCAGAATACTCATTAAAGGACTAGTGTGTAGGATTTAGTGGTGTAATTGCAGATTGCA